CGCTCACGCGCGTTGTCGCCTTGATCTTCGCCGCTGGCTGCGACGCAAGGGCCGATTCTCTGTGTTTCTCACCCGCCCGGGGTCTGTGGTCCTGGAGACTCGAGTATGGAGACGAGCCGGGTCCGCCGCCGGTCCCCTGGGCGCTGATTACAGGCCTCCGCGCCCGCTCTTGAGGCCTAGTTACCGCCCTAGGGGTGCGGGCGCTCAGCCCTGGGAGCTGCTGAATCACATAGACAACCCGCTTCTCTCCCGGTTACTCGTAATGATGTGCCGGGCATTGGGTTGACTTTTTTTTTGCAAACATTACCCATTCAGTCCCCCCAGTAACTAGGTCAGTGATCGCTGTTTGAAGGCGAGCAAAGGGTGGATAAATAGATGTTAGAAGGGGTTCTGTTCTGGGTTAGATTGCCTCCAAAGCAGGTGCCTTTAACTTCTTGGCTGTTAACGCCAAAAATCAGGAAACTCACGGGTGGTCGGTTGAATAGGAGGAATAATCGCTCATGCATTGTATTTTCCTAGTGTGTCTTCGCAGCATCCATTTGAATTAAAGAGCAAGCCCCTGGTTTTTGCTGGGGGAATCTAACATTAGAAATGTCATCAGTTGCTCCCCGTATGCGGGGGGGGGCGGGGGGGGGCGCCACTGGGGATGGAGCCTGAAACCTTTCGGTGTATGGAGTGATGCTCCGAGCAGGTGAGCCATTGGGCCAGGGCTTGGATGCGTCCTTTTTAATTACAGGGTGTATTTTGCAAATCACACATAAGAGATATGCCTTATCAACACATTGCCTAAGAATAACCAGGCGTCCACCCGGTGAAAATCAACTCCCGAAGACTGGATCTTAGCTGCTTAATATTCAGGAAATCAACGAAGTAAAAAAGTGCTTATGGATGCTTATCTCAACACTGAGCCTTTTTTCCCCACACATTATCGCCGAACCATTTCACTTGGAAAGATAAAAGACTCCGTATTGCTCAATGAAAATATGATTATCTCCCCAGCAGGTGTAAATACTGCTCCGTGTTCCATTTCAGGGGTGGAGTATCAGGAAAGATAAGAATCTGGAGGTTTGTTTACATTATACGTAAATGATAAGAGATATCTCTGAAACTTGTCAGGTTTTGGGGAGAGGGAAGCAGGAGGAAGCAGAAATATGTTGTTTAACAACCAACAACACTAAATGTACATTTAGAGTTATATTAAAAGTAATATTAAAAGGCATCTGTGATCTCACCTGTAAGTGGCATCTAAAGAACAAAATAGGGCCAGAGGTATGGATGCAGGGAACGGAATAACAGACTCAGGGGGCAGGGGTGTTGAGGGGGAGGGGACAGGAAGAGATTAACCAAGGAACATATATGCATTATGAATAAGAAGACCTGGGTGAGGGTGGAGTAGGGGTGGGGTGGAGGGGGGCAAGAAGGGAGAAGATGGGGGACATCTTATACTGTCAACAATAAATAAATTTTAGAAAGGCATCTATGTGAAATTAATGAGGGCTTGGGATTAGACCATTAGTTGTAGGTCAAATAATAAACCACAAGAAATGCTCCTTTTACGGTTATACTTCTGAAACAGGGAAATAGTATTTTTTAACAGCTTTAAGATCTAATTCACCAACTATAAAATTCACCCATGAAAGTGTACAATTCAGTG